GGCATTCTCGTTTCCGATTCTCGCGCGTTAATCGATCTCTCTCCTTCGCCATGGGAAATTACATTGAACTTCGGCGCAGGGCCATGGCCGCGGCCTTTACAAGGGCCTTACGCCACTGCGCCCTATAACGACAACACCGAAAAAGCTCACGGACGCTCACCACCCTTATGACCGTCGCCGTGTGACGGGCACCAGCACCAGCCCACAAGCAAGACGGGCTGATTCGTGCGCGCTCGACAGTGTGGGGCGCACTGTGGTGCAGTTAGTCCAAGTTAGTCGGCGTCAGTGGTCGTCGAGCGACGGTCAGGAAGAGAGGTCTTCCTCGTTACGAAACAGAACTCCCTCCGGAGGATTTCTTTAACTGCGCGAGTGCCTCTCGTCGGCAGTGGCACCCTGGCGGCGGTGCGCTCTACGACGAGGGGTTGCAAAAGTGGTACGTGAAATAAGTGTGCGCGCGCGACTCATCCGTATGTGACGTCTGATTTCTGTGTGTGTTACGTCGCGCGAAGATGCATGCATCTATACGCACATGCACATATAATATATATATATATATATATATATATACATTATACGGAAAGAGAGAGACAGCGGCAACGTATCCTAAATACACATACGTCTATACATATATATGCATTTTTCACGAAATATTCACTAAATTAGATTGAAATGCAAGAAAATTAATTGTATAGTGATAACGATACAATCATAAGATAGCCTGCTGATTACTAAAAAAATATATTAGACACAAGACACGTTTTCTGCTGCATCTCTCAACAATTATATATCGTGCGTTGCAAGGAAGATCACGAAGTGATTAAGTTAAATGGCATATATCTTTTCTTTCGCTTTTTTAATCTAACTCGCAAGAAATAAGTGAATTAATTCGATTTTCGTCGTCTATTTTACTTGACAAGCGCGTAAAGAATATTTAAGAGTAAATAAGCTTTATTTTTAATGTTTTTAAAGGATAACTGTAAGATATAAAAAATTGTAATATAGAGATTTTTTGTAAATGTTCAGAGAGCGAAAAAGATATACCAGGGCGATCGAATCTTGGCGATTGAAGACTTATCCGGCAATTGCCTTTACAACTAAATTACCCAGGTAAGCCAGGCATTGATATAGCGTCTATTTGGTTAATATCATTATGCTACATTTATAGTTTTTTGTCTACAAAAATATTTATTTTTCCCTTAAAACTGAAGAATATTTAGACGAATTTTTTATATTTGGTTTTCGAGTTTACTTAGATCGAGCTGCGAGCTTATCGCTTTTATCATCTATTTTTTTTTTTTTTTTCGTCTTCTCGTCTATCTCGTCGTTGTTTGATGAACAGATCGGTCGAGATTATATAATCTTTAAGGATAATCTCAAAATACAAACGTCAAATTGATGATAGGTGCTTTCAAGTGTGCAGCATGTGGTGCACATGATTTCTTATCGGTTAGTTTCAATTTTTCGACCGAGTCGACCGCAGGATGAACGTGAAAAGTTTCGGTGAAAGCGCGATGATTCATTCATCTGTCGCGAGAAATGCAAATATCGACTGCTTACCCCTGGCAGCGCGATCGCACCCCAACCGTAAAAAATCGATCGTTTCATTTTCATTATCTCGTTAATTCAATCTTTTAATGAAGGGAAATAAAAAATGGAAATGGAAAAGCGAAGAATTTGTGATAAATAAATCTAGGAAACTGAATTTGTGGAGAAAAAAATATGCACAAAATAAAATACAGAAAAATATTGCCATTAATAAATATCGTAAAATATAAAAGAATAATAAAATAAAAATATAATATAGAAATATGTGTAACGAGCCATAAGTTTTTTATATACGTCATATATATATATTGAATATTGCAAACATATTATACGGGAGAGATATTTTCTAATACACTGACATAATTTATTAGACATAGATGTAAAAAAATGGCATATATTATACAAATGTTTGCAAGTGAAACGTTTCCTTCAACGAGATATTGGGTCCATTAAATGCACCATGATATTAATCCATTTGTCTAATTTCACATTTTATCTTTGCGTAATTTTATAACAAATCTGTAGAAATTTTCGACACGTACTGTTTTTATCACATGACTAAACTGTGAGTCTTTTGTATGAAAGTTATGAAAATATCCACGAACAGTCGATAATAAAATATTCACGAAATACACGCTTGAAATATAAAATATTGTTTGTAAATGGGAGGGTACGCACAATCTCTTTCAGTTATGATAGTACGGTTCGTAAACTTTCTTCCGGTAAGGTACGGTTCGTAAAGTTCGTAAACTCTCTTGGCGATAATAACTAAAAAGAGAAATTACAATCTTTTCCAAATAAGACAAAGGTTCACGTGATTCTGCCTTTCTTATTTATACATGCTATGAATTTACGATCGTATATTAGGGAATATTTTGTGTAACATTAACCTAGAAAAGGTCAAAAAAGTTTCGCTTATATCTCGATGAGTCAATAAGACACCGTTACTCGATTACACATTCGCTTACATTATGCTTGTATAATGTAATTAAATTTAGAAAAAGATCACGCGTAATTGTCAACGTGGACAATTTCTTAACAAGGATCGCGTGTAATTTAATATAAATATTTTGCGATGACACATCGAGCATTTCTCTCCGTTAATCATTTTAAAATTTTAGAACGTGACACGTAATCTTCTCCATGTAAATGCGAGTTTGGAAAGCGGCCTCGAGGCTAAAGTATTTGAATGATTAACCAAAGTAAATTAGCGAGGAGTGGTAAGCGAGGAAAAACAAAATATTTTCCGCGTATCAATCAGCTGTAGTTTGTATATAGAATGAATTTAAAACTTTAATATTTTGAATAATCATAGATATAGATATAGATACATATTAGACATCTAAAAAACATAATAATATTGTGTGTAACTATTTTCATAAATTTGTTTTAACTAAATTATATATTTCAAAGAAAAAGAGTTTTCTTCAATTTATAGATTTATTAATAATCGAAATAAAATCATAAAAAGAAAAAGAAATAGAATTATAAATTTTTTGATAAATGCGAGTTCGATTTTTTTTTAGCGCAGCAAATTTTTTTCACAATTTCTATAATATTAAATTTTTTTCGCATTCCTAAAATTGAAATTGTTTTATTTTTAATTGCTTCTATTCGAAAAACATGATAATTTGACATCGATTATAAGAATGGAATTCGCGTTAATGTACCTTTTAATGGTCGAGAAAAAGCGTATCACTTTCGGGATACACTTGTATATATGATCGTGGAAAATGGCAAAATAATACCTGAGTAAGAACATTTAGACAAACTTTGGCCCTTAACTCCCTCTAGCCCTTATCGTTAAACAAACTTGCAATCAGTAAAGATTCCGAGAAATGATAATTTTCCGGGCAGTTTTCGAAGCTATTTAACATGATTCATGCCCTCAGTCTAGCAGTTGGAAGAGAAAGCTCGCACGGTGAACATCACATCGAGTGAATGATAAACGTGTGCATCTTTTTCCTCGCAGGCCCTACACAAGAGAATAATTATGTCGGAAGGCGCGACCCCACAAGAACACTCTCAAAAGTACAGCCTCCGCTGGAATAATCATCGATCGAATATGCTGACCGTCTTCGGCGATCTGCTGCAAACCGAGGCGTTCACGGACGTGTCCCTCGTCGCGGACAGCGGTCGGATCATCAAGTGCCACAAGATCGTCTTAGCGGCGTGCTCGTCCTACTTCCAAACTCTGTTCGTCGCTCTGCCATGCCCACACCCGACGATCATTCTCAAGGACGTCAAGTACACGGAGCTAAGGGCGATACTGGAGTTTATATACCGCGGCGAGGTGACCGTACAACAGGAGCAGCTGAGCAATCTGCTCAAGATCGCAGAAATGCTGCAGGTGAAGGGTCTAGTGGAGCACAATGGTAGCGACAACGTTGGAGAACGGTTCTCGGCGTACAGCGATTTTCGTCGACACGAGGACATGATGGAGACATCGTTGTCGCCACCACCAGCCATCAGCACCAGCACTAATGCCAATAGCATGGCAGCGCACAGCAGCAGTCACGTGTCACCGCCGCATTCCACCGGTGACACTTACAGTAGTTTTTACAGCAAGCCTTTGGGGACGACTTCGGAAATGAGTCAAATCCAAAGTCATCTCGCGTTTTGGCCGCTGTCCTTACCGTTGCACCAAGGAGTTTCCACAGGTCATCAAATATCGCCACACTCCTCTCCTGTCGCCTCTGTTCTCTGTGCTGGCGGCGGAGGCGGCGGCTCCTCTCACGATAACAGCTTCGAGACAACCTCGCCGCTCAAGCTCGTAAAGAAGACGCTGCATTCGAACCTGTTGAATCACGACACGCCGATACTGCGCACTGTGCTCGGCCAGGGTCACGTTGACAGTTCCGTGACGGGTGTACCGTTATTGCAGCCTGACAGTCACGAATCGATGCATTTTCGAGCGAACAACGGTTCTGCAAACGACAATGACAATCGTCGCAGCAACACCGATTTGGCCCATAGCGAGGCGGCCCACAGCTCCTACATGGATGTTCCTTCTATGGATGAGGATGAGAAGCAGCCGTCGCCGCAATCGCACACCGGTGACAAGACAAGTAATAGGCTTTTTTAAAATTATATCATGAAACCAATATATCCGTTCAAAATTTGTATGACTTTCGAATAGAAAGACTACTTTTTCTTTGAACTTTTAGGAAAGATTCTTAAGTATGATAAATACATTAACACATTATTAATTCTCTTGTATATGTTTAGGTAACGCGACTCATGTGCAGGCGAAGCCCGAGTGGAAACGATACAAACAATACACCCGAGATGACATCCAGGCAGCGATCCAGGCAGTGAAATCGGGCATAAGCGCTGTGCAAGCGGCGCGCCAATTTGGCGTGCCGTCTCGCACGCTCTACGACAAGGTGAAGAAGCTCGGTATCCCGACATCGCGACCGTTCAAGCGTTCAGTGAGCAACGGTGGTAGCGCGGCCCGCTTCCCGTACGGCATCGGTGGCAACGTGAACGGCAGGATTTACGGCGGTAGCATATTGTCCGAAAATGAGAACGAGAACAGTATGAATGTCAACATTGAGAACTTGGCTACTAGCACGTCGAGCGCTAGCTCGTTGGTCGCCGCTTACGTCAAACCAGCATCGAAGGATGCGTCGCAGGATCGCGACTCGATGTCCGACTCGATGGCACGCTACAGTCCAAGTCCGGTCATACGCTGTGCCAAGCAAAAGCAACAACAGCAGAACATGGACGATGAGGTGGAAGATCTATCGGTGAGTCGTAAATCTGATGTTCCGGTGATAATGCTAACATCGTCGGATGCAGTCAAGGATGAACCGCAAGAAACCGGGCCGAACAACAATGATTGCTGCGACTACAGTTAACTTTTCTTTTTTTTTTCCCCCGATCTCCATTTCCGTATCGCGCTCGATACAGATTAAAAAATTAGAATGTAGAAGGGGAATAAGAAGAGAGGATCGAAAATAGTGCTTCCGTCCGAGGGGCGGCTTGAATATAATTTTTTAAATAGAGTATATATATTTTTGTTTTTCTTTACGCAACAGATATATAGACACAGAGGTTCGGATTTGCCTCTTATGCGTATCAGTAACGTCGTTATTCTTAACTTTCTGCCTTGTACAAGACTGAATATGCGTCGATAGATTCAAGAGACTGAAGCATGTATTAGCACGTATTTGCGTCGCAAATTTGTTAAAGCCTAATGCTATTACGGTACAGATAAATCACACAAATTAATTTATCGCGAGACGGGAAGAACGTTTTCAGAAACTTAATATACTTAGTACACATTTGTAAATTAGATTTATCTTTTTTTTAATCGAATCGACATACATATATACGTATTTTTAGTTTAAACCTAAGTAATCTCTTAGCAACAAGATATTTTTGAATTTTTATAAAATTTTAAAATGTTTTTATCCGTATATTTATTTTTTTTTTTTATTATCATCACGAAAACGATCATTGTCTGACAATGTTATCTTGTACATGTAGTCGCTTTATAATACATCCCGTAATTTGCATTAAACTTTTTAAACATCTTTGGGATCAGAGTAAATACGTCTTACATTTACTATCTATTATTATTGTGATTCATTTTGATTTGCGATTTATTAGCATAATATTGTAGAACAAGAAGAAAGCATAGTAGGAAAAGTTTTCGAACAAGTGTGCAAGGGAAAGTAAACAAGTATGTGAATAACAAACTGGAAGAGTTCATTGTTCCAAAAGTTTTTTTTATGCTTGTGCATTTTTATCCTTAATTTTTATTATAAAAGATATTCCGTCACTGTCGCATTTTCGTGTTGAACGTTGATGCGGCGAAAAGTCAGGAAATATTTTGTACATAACATTAATAATTGTGTAGTTCGAGATTTCGTTCGTAAATTTCGTATCATTTTGTTAATAATCGAGATATTGCTGTTAATTTGTTAGTAATTGTAGGTACTTGATCGTGTAATCGTTGTATTTCATCGTTAACTGACAATGGCTCTGGGATACAATTGCAATATTGCTCAATGCATATCAACAATAATGATAATACGAACTACCTCATTATATTGTACAATGAATAGCAAGTTCATTAACGTAAGACTGATGAGACGAATCCAAATACAGATAAATTGAAAATCCAGACAAATGTTAAAATAAGATATATATATATATATATATATACATATAGATATATATGTATATATGTATATATATATATGTTATTGTATAGATATATCAAAAGTTTTCATTTGTAGTCAACAATTTGGAACGAAAGTAAAGGCCGTTTGATGCAAGCATTGTCTCCACCAGCAAGCCCAAAAAGGGATGGCAGTCCAAATAGCAGTAACAGC